TTTGTTAAATTACTGAGAGAACAGAAAGTCAGCTCTTAGGCTAACGCCTCACATCTTTCTTCTGTGAATAATGTGTGCAGGAGTTTCATTCTGAGAAAACCATGAGGGGGCGACCTAAACATGACCGCAGGATGTAAAAGAAATGAAGACAGTATGTGCAGAAAAATCATACAGGCGGGGATGAACAGAATCAGATAATGATGCGCTGAACCGAACATGTTTATCATTTTACCAGAAGCCTCACTATGAACAGCAGAAACAGCAGAAAAAAATCTTCACAGAAAGAAACGTTCAGAAGAAACGCCAGGTATTTCACTTCATTTACCTATATAGCATTTTAAAACAACCAAAGCTGCATCAGAGTGCTGCACATGTAAAAATAAAGATAAAACAAGGAAATAACACTAAGAACATCAACAGAATCAATGGAACAATAAAAGCCAGAGTTAAAACAATAACCTAGAGGCAAAATTAAAGAACTAAAAAATGCTTTTTTATAGTTTTTAAAAGCAGAATGTTAAAGAACACGTCTAAAATGAAACAGAGATTATCACATATTCTGGGGCACTAAAGGTTTTGTCCCCTCTGAGCATCTTAGATCTCAACACCTCCAGGAGCAGCTAATCAGCTGACCTGATCCAGCTCTAAGGGGTAAGACCAGGAAAGACCGTCTAAACCTTTAAAGACAAATATGAGACTTTTAAAATGAACTCTTAAAACACACATGTATCTAGTGGACAGCTTTTTTTTATTTAGTCTTAGTCTTAGTCACAATCATGAAAATCAATTTTAGTCTTAGTTATATTTTAGTAACTTTTGTCATTTTCGTCATTTTAGTCAACATTGTAAATAATAGAACTTCTGCTCACACTGCTTCTCTTTTTAGCATATATATCACACTGTAGCATCACCAATTAGGATCAAGTAGCTGCATCAACTGGAAAAGGTTCAGAGGACTGGCTGACCTCAAGAACATCACGTCAACTCAGGATGTAATAAAGCCATGAGCGGATGGGTAGTTTTGAAAGAATTCATGAGCCACTCGGCTCAACTCCAGTATTTCTTTTTTTTTTTTTTTGTATAAAATCTAAAAATATGGGTATTTAGGGTGGGATGTTTTTTAAACATAACAGTAGGCGTTTGATTAAGATTTCCTTCATTGATGGTCTATATGAAAACCAAAAAAGCTCCTCTGCATAAATTTTTACGTACACAGTTTATAGTTCCTTGGCATTTTCATTCCTGACACCAGGTGAATAAAGTCCAACAACGGATCTTCTTTCTTAGGAAGCCACTGGATTTGACCTAACTGATCATAGTCGTCTACAGGGTGTGAACAGAAAGCATGCTGTGTCTCAGGGTCTGTGTGGTTGTAGAGGTCCACAGCACCGGAGGGGAAATACTTGGCAGTGGTGAAAACAGCAGAGTGGATTTTGGATCTAGACGGTTTGTGCTGCCTGGGTTCAGAAAAGGGGCAAACATATTACTACTACTGAGTGACCATCAGGCCACAAACTGTTTATTCCACTTCCATCAGGAAAATTATTCAAATCAAAACCACAGACTTGAAAACAGATTTCTTTCAAGAGCTGTGAAATATTGTATAGTCAAATACTCATTTTCCACTCAAACTCCCTCCTGTCGGAAATCATCTCCTAAAAAGTTTTTTCTCTTATGCTTTTAATTTTAAGGCGTTGGCTGTTCTTATTGCTTTTAACTGTTTAGTTGCTTCAACTGCTTATTTGATTTTATTGTTTTGGAACATTTTGCATGTTATCTTTTATGCTTTATTTTAGGTACACATTAAATCATTCACATGCTCTTCACGCTATTCTCTTACAAGTATTTTAGAAGTGTTCGTAAATTAAAGGAACAGTACAAAAAAAATACGTCATAACAGAAAATATGACAAAACATTCATAAATATATAAGACAGGAAATTGTTATATATTATTTTTTTAGGAGTTTGAGATTTTTTGAAATGGGACAGGTACTACAAGGTCTTTTCTTCTTCCTGATTTGTTCTGTTTTTTCTTCTTTGTTTTATATTTGAAATAAGAAAAAAGACAAACATTTGTAATATAATGACATAAATAATAAATCTTCCTAAACATCTCAGAATATACAGATATAATGTGGAATCGCTTATTCCACATTATATCATTATTATTATTATGTCAATTCCTTGTGCAAAAAAATGCAGCTTGACTTATTAAATTGCTACAAATGGTAACAAGTAAACAAATCATTTTATCTCAACCTAATTTATTAAAATTTTTAATTTACAAACTTAATCATTTATGTTGGATCAACTTGATTCAATTACTGTTTTTTTGCAGAGTGTGTGTGTGTGTGTAAAAGACTGATTCTGAATATAACTGCTTTACAAATAAAGTTCTATTGTTTTATTTCAAAGACAAAGAGTATAATCTGAGAAAAATATCTAAATGTAAAGTCAAACCCTGAAAGTTTATTTAAAAATTCACTTTTCTCACTTTATCACAGTTAACTAATAAAAAAACCTCTATTCTTGAGCTGACACAATGCAGCTGTTTGGTAGAAAGAAAGATCGGAACTTTCTAATCACAGCTGGATTTCTTCAGATGTTAAACCAGCAGAGCATGAAACTGTCTGCTCGCAAACACACACAATAAGTAAGCATCAGTTTCTGCTGACAATGGAGGAGCAGCATAATGAGGAAATAATGGTGATAATTAGCATGATGTTCTGTCTCATTAGGGACTAAATTAACCTCACAGTCATCTACGCGAGAGCTGGACCGACCTTTCCACATTCTGACATGGCTGTAACAGCAGAGGCTCTTCCCACTGTGGTCTCTCTTTACCTCATGGGGAGGTTCCATTTGAAGGGATTAAATGAATGTTACAGGAATCACCTCTAAATGTTGAATTGATTTTCTTTATTGATTTTGCTGTCCTTTTGTGGAAATAAAGTGTCAGTTTTTTATGTATACATAAACCAATCTGAAAAAGTCAAATCCCATTAAGATAAACTACACAGGTACAATATTATCATTGAGGTACTTTATCTAAGAAGTTCACATCTAAAAGGGATCTCAAATACTTTAAAGGTTTAATTTCTGTATAAAAAAGCTCAAAAAGAATGAACAGATTGCAGTAATCAACAGGAAAGTGGAGTGGAAGAAATAGCTGTGGTGAAGAGGGGTGCACAATAAGGGTAAGTTACTAAATGACAGTGGTTATGTAGAGAGTACTGAATCAAAACATTTCCAAGAAAAGGGCTTTGATTATTGCTCTTCCTTTTGTTAGGCCATACCAAACCATAAAAATTGTCAATACAGACAAAGCTGGTCTAAGGAGTAAAATAACTGGGGGTCCATTCAATATACTTATAATTAGTGTTGCGCTGATGCCATTTTTTGGCCCCGATATCAATACCCGATACCTGGCTGTGCAGTATCGGCCGATACCGATACCATAATAATGTAAAATAATTGCCATCATGGCTTTGTCAAGCTGCTGCCTACCTTTGTGAAGCAGGAAAAAATCTAATACAAAGTGAATCCAGTAGAACTTTTTATTACCAACCAGGAGTGGGTGACAATAGTTGAATAAACGTATGGCTCTCAAAACGGTATCGGTGCCCTATTTGTTGGTACTCGCCGATACCGATACCACCATTATAGGGCAGTATCAGGGCCCCATCCGATACTGGTATCGGTATCTGTGCAACACTACTTATAATGGTTCACATTTTCCCATGTTACTAAGAAAACCTTCGAGGACCGGGGGCTTTGGCCAGGTGACCTTTGCCAAATGTTCTCCCCTCCTTTCTCTGATCCCATTTCAGTTTAGCTGAGACAAAAATAGATGTGTTGATGAGTAAGCTGGAAAGTTGAAAAGATATGCTGAGTAGCTGTAATTTTAGAGTGACAAACAAAAGGAAGCATCATCATAAGCAACATGTTCACATTATGGACCGATCAATATACAGTGCCATCTGGGACGGCAGCCATTATTACTTTATAGTGCTGGCTGTGATGTCTCTGACCTATGGATAACTTCACTAAATTATTTTATTTTTGAAAGTACCATTAGGCAAAGCATTATAGCGTTGTTTATTATGTTTAATAACCATGAGCTCATTTGCCCAGACCCAGAGTGGTTTTCACTTATAATGAATGGGGATGGGATTTTAGTATTATTGTTAAAAAATTCTTCTGTGCAACTACTGTGAATGGGAAGCGAAGAGAAACCAGACCTAGCAATGGTGGCCAGCTGTTGGTTGCTATTAATGCAACCAGGCCTTTCTAAACATCTCAGTAGAATCACTGGCTGATATCCTTCATGCCAGGTCTTGTCTTTTTATTAGCATTTTACAATTATTATCACATTAGACCAGTGCCCTGCATGTTTTAGATGGATCACAGCTTTCTAAGAGCTGATTAACAGACTTTGCAGCACTTCATTCATCTGGATCAGCTGTGTTAAAGCAGAGAGACAATAAAAATACCTGCAGGGCAGTGTGACGTGGGTAGGGGTTTGAAAAACACACCATAAGAAGAGCTTGATGGAAACAACAAAATTCTAAATAATAAATGTATGGATAAAATGTGCTTGAAAGGGTTTCTAGTAGTAACAGCACTAAAAAGGAGATCTAAATACATTTTTAAAACAGCTTCTCACATAGATAACATTTACATCACATCAGATCAGCTGTTACCACTACTGGCATCCTAAATGCAAACTTCTTTTGCCTGCCTGATTGCAAAGCATTAATTTATTCCTCAGGTTTAGTGGGTAAACATTTCTGGATCAAAATCCTCTTTGATTGGTCTGATGGATATTCTTATTTTCTGAGAAACCGATTTTTGGGACTTTAACTTTCTATAAAGTAAAATGAGTTAATAGGAATATCATTTTGTGTGCAATGTACTAATAAAAGTTCTTAACGTGACTAATTATTTTACGTGTAGCTTGGCTTATTTGCCCCAGACAGTGAGTCAGATTGCGTTGTACCTCATTCCTTTGGTGGAACGGTTTTGGAAGTTCTGCAGCAGCTGTGGGACGCCCAGCATCGCCTCAAACATCACAGCCAGGGAGCCCAGAGCCTCGACAAACATGACGGAGTCTAGCAGCAGCAGAGTGGTCACAGCAGACACCACAGTAAAACCGAAGCAGAATAGGAGGTAGTCCTCAAAAGCACTCCAACTCCAAAAGTAGTGAAGGTTTAAATCTGGAGAGAGGGAAGAAAAAAATTAATGTTTCCAATCAAAGCAATTTATCTCCATCACTGAGAGGCCGAGCTAAATGGAAATGTATGACAAGAGGAGGAGATGGAAAAAGCTGAAAAGATTTTCAGTGCATAGACATCAAACAGCAGAGCCTGATGGCAACACAGACTGAGCTGTGGGACTATTATGTTTATAATGTGAAGAAACTGAAGCACCCAAATAGTATTGGGACTGTTTATGGATGCAATACAATGATGCAGAGCGAGCACTCCTCAATCATTTCCGTTTAAATGCATTAGCGAATGAAACTAAGATAAATACAGCAATGAAAAGCTGTTACATTTCTATTCTATGATAGTTAGATGGCCTTAGGAAGGTCCAGGATTTATTTAATATACCTCAGGTTTAAATTGATTTACTGATCCAGTAACACATATACCAAACCAGAGAGGTGCCTTCAGATAAAGCTCACAAAATAACGCTCAGTACATATGAAAAGACTTGGCCCCAGTAGTTGTCCTGTTAAGCATTAAGATGGTAGGAAAACCCAAGAAGAGAAGATGTCACAAAAACATCACACATCTATCGCATTAAAATTTCTATCAGCCAACAGCTATTTCATCGATGGACCCCAGCGTGAGATGACTGAACGTCTCCGACAGACTGGGTACGACCACTGAGCTGTGAAAACCAACTGACATCAGCTAAAAGGATTTAATGGCTAAATAAGAGCACATTAGTTAGAGTGGCGACTCAAGCATGACTATGAATGCTGCAAAGCACCTGACTGCTCCACATGCAGCTGTTATTTTAATGCCTGGAAGAACACAACGTCATGCTTTTATTAATGCAATCAGCATTTTTTTTCACCAACTGTTAATGATTATGTGTGAGTTTTAGCATAAACATTAAGGCTATAACAATAGGGTTAGAATAAGTAGGAGAAAGTGTGCTTTATTTCAGTAGAAAAAAATTATCATAACAAAACATTTCATGTTTTGATTTCTTGGAAATATAAAAGTGTCATAAAGCACATTATTTGCCATTTTGGTAATGCTGTTGTAGCAAGATTTTTATGATCTGATGTGTTAATCCTCCATCAGAACTTATTAAGGGAGAGTTCAACAGTTCTGGTCTCTGACTGTGTCTGCTCTTACATAGATGGATGGATTTCATTGAAAGATACATTCAACTTATATTAAGACTGAAAAGTAACAGAAAAAGTCACGTCTAACAACTGCTTCCATTATGCAACAGTGAACCTTTATCCCCCAAACTTACCCTGAACCTGTAACCTCCCTCTGGTGTGTTTTATTAAGTGTATTCTAACTGTGGTGCTGTTTATTGATGCACTTCTCTTGACCCTGACAGGTTTGCTTCTCTGGCTGCTTTTAAAATGAACACACAGGTCCAGCACAACTACTGCAGGGTAACCTTTCTATTGCCTGTTATTGTGTTAGCTCCCAGTAGCACAGAAGGATTACTTGTTCATGTTTGCAATCATCCAGCCAGCTTCAGTGAGCTGAAAAGATGTGACTGCCTACAGGATCAGGGGACACAACTCCAGTATGGAAAGAACTGAACTTAGACCAATACAGCATTTACTGTAGTGGTGCTCCAACCACTAACCTCTGAGTTTATTGTGGTGTTTTGTACAACATGCATCTGCTTCATCCCCTCCTTTAATTGTATATGAAATAGGGAATTAACACCAGACCCTGAAGGCTCGCTGTGGTTTCGGACACCAGGATGTTAGCTGCAGATTCTTCATGTCATGGAAGATTCAGTTGAATTTGGAGACCATGTCAAAAAAATAATTTGCTTGATAGGCTCTTAAAACAATTCTTGAAGTATTTTTGTTTTGTGGCAGGGAGATTTATATCTAAGAGTCCACAACCATAAAAACAGTTTACATGAAGGGTAACACTTTGTCAGCAAACTAGTTAGGTAGATATGATGTGTCTAAATACTCTGAATGCCAGACTGAACCTGTACCTCAGCCCTGTTTTATTTTTGCATCTGAAGATTTATTTAACAAGGTTAGTCACATTAACTCAACTTTATTTACAAAGCCTTTTAAATCAACCACAGCTGCCACAAAGTGCTGTACATACCAAGAAAACCAAATTATATAAAATAAATGTAAGGATGATAATAATAGGTTTTATTAGTTGTAAAAATGAATAGTTTTTGGAGGATTGTCCATTGAGGAGGAGGAGTTCATTCCACAATTTTGGAGCAGCGATGAGAAAACTCGGTTCCCTCTGAGCCTCCGTCCTTTCAGGAGCATTAAGATGAAAAAAAAAAGAAAAAAAAACTCAGTTCCTCTGAGCCAAGAAGAACCTTTTATCCATCGATCATATCAACCTTACAATGTTTTCCCCCAAAATAAAATGTTAACATGCTGAAGCCTTTCCTGTTCCACTCCAGTGAGCTGCAGCTGTGGTTTCAACCTGGGACCCACCGAGTGAGACACCTTGCATCGAGTGCAGAGCAGCGTGTTTACAACAAACAGCCAATGTGATTAATGGATTTATCACCTGCAAAAGACACATTGCCCACAGCTGACAAGATGAACATGATCTGAGGAAGAAAAGGTCGAACAACACACACATCCCTATCACCTGACACACACACACATGCATGCACTCACACAAATAATGAAACGAGCTGAAACTAAAGAGCTAAAGACTGTGGACTTCTTACAAGCCATTTACGAACTCGCCTTCTATTCTGAAGGCTCTCTACTTCAAATTACAATCGGAGTTGAGTCAATGCATGCACTGGCAGTAGGCAGAGAGAGGGGTGGGGGGTGGGTGAAGAACCAGAAGGGCCTTTTATTTACCAGACAGATAAAAGCTCATTCATTTCTACTGGAACGATGCTGAGGTGGTGAAGAATTAACCTGCTGACAGCAGCAGCTGCACAAACAGAAGAGGTGTTCTGAAAAAATATTTTAAAAACTTTCAGGGCAGGAACTTTTTTTTCCCACAATTTCATCTTTCAGGTTTGCCTTAGCTTACCCCTCTCATCAATTTGCAAACATTACCAGCAGACACCTTCAAAAACGCACTGAGATCCTTGAAACACTCTTCTCTTGTTCTCTCACTTCTGTCCGATCTATTTTCCTACATGAGCCGCCATCATCCCTTCATTTTATCCTCAGACTCTCTTTGTGTTTCATCCTGTTTCAGCTCTCACTCATTCTGCCTTGCATGTTTACCTGCATAATTAAAATGACCGGAAGACTATAATGGAAGAGAGAAAGCTTTGCATCATTCATGCCATGCATCCCTGGCGCTACTCTCCCCCACTCATGCCCTCCATCGACCAGTTTCCGTCTTTCTAATGGTCATTCACAAGTTGCATTTATATATTTTTGTGGCTTGAGAAATGACACACATGGCTTTTCCAAAATTGCCTTCTTTCTTTCTTTGCAATGAGCATTTTTACTCGGGGCACAGAGACGACAGGGAGGTGGTCTCAGTTTACATGGACCTCATTTTAAATCAAACAATTCAATTACTAAAGCAGCCATTGAAGCTGCCTGGAGGAATTCAATACCTGAATACACAGTTAGTTTAGGAAGTTACCCAGCTGGGATAAGTTATTGAATTTGTGCAAGTCCAATTTGCTGGAAGTCTGGAGCTGTAATAGCTTTTGCTGTTTCAGTAGTGAGTAGAAATGTCTAGACCTTAAGTCAGCACTGTTAGAATCTAACAAGCTGTAGAAATAAGAGATGACTAGAAATGGAAAATGTGAGGTTCAAATAAAGGGAAGGAGAAAGGTTATGAGTCATTGAAAAGCATGACTCATCATGCCGTGAAGAAAGTAAGAAGGAAGAGAGCAGGGTCTGATGGAGAGATGGAGATTGACAGTGACAGCCTAGGAGCTTAGAGATATATGCTGACTCAACACAGTCAGTACCTGAAAGAAACACAACACCTCTGTTAGCTTTTTTGTTTTGTTTTTAGATGTGTGAAAGTTGCTTTTTGTAGTCTCTCTGTTTCACGTTCAGTTCAATACTTGCAGACAGACAGAATTTAAAGTGGCACAGGGACTAGCAAGAACAGGCCTTTAAACCAGCTCCTTGGGTGTCAGTGTTTGGATTTACTGCCTAGCTTGAACTGATTCAGAAGATACTCACTAGAATGTCTAGATCAGATAAATACACTAAGGTGAACGGTTGTCTCTTAGAAGTCAAAAATGTACTCTATAAACTTCAGCAACGGCAGAGATGATAAAATGGGGGAAGTGTTGCCTAGTGGTTAGAGCAGAGTGTATGTGTTCTGAGGGTGAGAGTATCTTGTTCAAACTCCACTGACTGCCACCCCGGCTCCCTGAGAAAGACCTTTAGCCCCTGATTGCTCCCTCGGTGCCACAAGCTGCACACTGGGATGGGTTGAAGTTCAGAACAGAATTTTATTGTTTTGTAATTTGACCGGCAACAGTCAAAAGAAAATTTTTCACAGTCACCACATGCATGGTCAGGACCGGTGAGAGCTGAAAACACAGAGTCAATGCAGTCAGCTGGGCGTTTTCTTAAAAAAAAAGCCTTTTAACCAAATAGAATAATAAATTAAACTTGACCAGGGTTTTTTACAACCAGGATGAAATTAGTGTATATTTAACAAACTTTGAATCTATCCATATGACGGGATAAAATTTACTACATACATTTCTAAATATAAAGAAGGCATTTATACTTGGAAAGTGTTAGACAGGATTTTTTAACAATCAGATGTGTTTTAATAAATTACATTTCATAGAAGATTTGACTGAGAGAGAGAGAACATAATTTTCAGCAGATAACAGGAGGACTGAACACACTGCAGCAGAGTTTTTTTTATATCCATCTGATTTTTTTCTTTTTTTTTAGTGTCCTGTCTGGTGATGTGGCAATACGAATGATTGTCTCGATGCGAAAAAGAGCCCAACAGATTTTACTTTCACAAGTGGAGCAGTACAGCTATCGCCATAGTGTTCCGCTTGATTTATGCAT